AGTGTGTGTGTGTGTGTGTGTGTGTGTGTGTGTGTGTGTTTTGCGTTTGTGTGTGTATGTGTGCGTCTGTCTACTCGCGTGTGTGAGTGCATGTGTGTGTGTATGTGTGTATGTGTGTGTATGTGTGTGTAAGTGTGTGGGTGTGTATGTGGGCGGGTGTGCATGCGCGCGCTCACGCGTGAGTGCAAGTGTGTGCGTGCACAAAAACCTATGTGTTCACGTTAGCAGTTCGTTACCTGGCAGATTCCAACTCCAGATCGATATTCGATGAGCTCCGCCTGTCAGGTTCAGGGAAATGTCACGTGATAAATTTTGTATATACATGGCTCACTTCCCTTCTGATTTTACGCCAACCCCAACACAATTGTCTCACCACACGGTGGAATCGGGCGCTTGTCGTTTTTGGCTATGTAGAGCTGCTGGTATCATTTTAAAGATTGTTCAATAAACCTGTTTTGCTTTTCATGGAAAAATAGCAATCCATCTTGAAAAATAATAATCAAGACATCTGCCATTGAAGGAGATGAGGGTTACATGGTAACCGAAGAAGAATTTTCGAGAAAATGGCAGCCCAAGTTGGGTGTCTTTCAAAAGTTAAGTGTTCTTGGAGACTGGAAGTTTACAGTTTTTGTTTGTACCTTTAATGACAGTATTTCAGTAAAATCCACACGAGAATGTATTTTTAAAAGGACATAAAATGTGTTGAGCCAAAAGAGAAAAAAAAAAATAGAAAAAAAAAATAACCTGCCCAACAGGCTGAAAAAGTGTCCATGTTTTTTATTTCATTATTTTGACGAGTGCCTGATTTCACAACCATATTTTCATCCCAATTGCAGTCGAACCTGCTCTAACATCAACCTGTACAAGACAATCAGCTTTTCAAACGACCTCTTACCAATTCCTCTTTTGTCTTTTTCCCATGTTATAACGATACTGCTTAATGGGATAGAGGGACTGAGTATAAAAGTTTTGTTAAGTATTAACCAAAGTGCACAGAGAAACAGAGGACTGAGAAATCCGGGGAGGAACCACAAAAAGAAAACTGTGGGAAAAAATGAAAAGAGAAATATGGGGGTGAAAAGCTACCTAGCCTCCTGTCTCTTCTCCGTCAAAAGTTGCGTACAGTACCTACATGAGAAAAACTACATGATAATATCGCTCTTGACATAGGCAAAGAGTTCTCACATAGGATCTAAAACAATACTGAAACAGTTTGAGACAAACATCGACACCAACGAGGTTATGAATAAAGCAGATGATTAATTTCTGTAAACAGTAAACAGCTGAGCCCTTTCACATTAGTTTTGCTTGATAATATGTGACTGATGGGGAACCTTTTTACTAGAATTTTCCTCCACTTCACTCTAGTTAGAGTGGCTACCCGGACATAGATAGCGAGAGATCTTGTCAATATAATGTATAGCGCCTGCAGTATGGCAGTTTTCACTGTACGCTTCCCAGAAAGATTGTTTCGGAATGCTTTCAGGTCTACTGGGGTTATCATGGCAGATGTAAAAGATCAATGATCAGAACCATAAAAAAGGCAATTTGGATTCTTTGACCACATAAATCAATCAAAAGGACTAGAGAATCTGCTGCTGTGTGGAAAGATAAGAGGGAAAGAAAAGCAGGGGAAGACAGAGCACAACATATACAGATAGCCTGAACAATTTTGCAAAGAATAACACAAAGAGAAAAGCCGATTAGATCTGGAAGAATTGAGGTACCATAATCGCCAATGTCTGACCCAGACCTGACACTCAAAGAAGTAAAGCACATTAAGCATGCTGTTGAACGGGAATTTGGGCTACACATTTATTTTGCTCTATTCTACTATTATCTCGTAGGCCTGTATATGTAAGTTTTGTTGTTGTTGCATGCAGTTAATTGAACGATTTGAGCCAGTAGGTAGATATAGTATACTTTACTCACTTGAGTTCCTCCCTGGCCTCATTGAGTGACTTCCTGATGTCCTGTAGGTCGTCCGACTCCCGGTATCCGGAGACCAGGTGCATGCTGGGTAGGCTGGAGAAGGGCAGGTCAGGGCTCTGGGAGATCTGTGCCCACGCCTCGCTACAGTGATGGGGCGAGAGTTATATAGGATAATACGTTAAAGGGGTAGGAATATGAAAGTAACAACATGGATAATAAAGGGATAGCGTCGTGGAAAGAAAGTATCAAAACAGTATAGTAAATTTTGAAAACGCTAAGAAAAAGAAAATTGAAAAAATTGAAGTGGTCTGAACCATAAAACAACACACTAAAATAAACTGAAGGCGTCCGAAGATGAAATTAGCAAAAAACACAAGTGTAATAAATTGACAGGGACAAGAAAAGGTAGGAACAAACTATAATAGATTGACGACGTCAGAACAATAATGCAAAATAATGTAATAAATCTAAAAGGTCAGAAAAAACTAACAAAATATAATAAATTAAAAAGGTCAGACAAAGAAAGAAAAATGAGATAAGAATTTTGAGGTTTAGAAAATGAAAGCAACATGTTATAATAAATTGAAGGGGCCAGAAAAAAGGTCAGAGGTCATGATACATTGAATGGCTTTTACAAAAAAGTAACAACAAGTAATAAATTGGAGACGGTCACAAAAAATAAAGTAATCAATTAGTAAAATGAACTGATGGCGTCATAAAAGAAGAAGAAGAAGAAGAAGAAGAAGAAGAAGAAGAAGAAGAAGAAGAAGAAAGTAGCTTTCAAATCGACAAGACACTCTTTATAAAATGAAATGAAAGCAGATACTTTATTGTAGTATTCGATTTGTTAGAAGTGAAAATCTGCTCTGAAGTATTTTTAACAAATTTTTTTTTAACGTGTAACATAATTTAGATCTGCTCGCAAACTGCTGCAACATATTCGTCAATATTATTACCTATGTAATATTAGATATGAAAGAAAGAGAAAGCCACCTCGAACTATTTCTAATTGTGAGCATCGTTGTTGTCGCAAGCAATCCACATAAGTCCGTTTTGGTAGTGTCTGCACCAGAGACAAAACAGTAGTTTTTGTTGTGTTGTCCCTATCAGGAATCGTTGAAAATTGTAGGCCTTGAAAGTAACACGAAACTGCATGTTGGTGATATTGAAAGATGAAACTTTTCTAGATTTTTTTTATAGTTTTAAAATATTGTTTTAAACTAGAAATTTCTCAAAATTTGGAATTAAGTGAATTACATGTGACAGCAATGGCATACAATAGTTATACTCACTCAAAATTGAACGAATGATTTTTGTTGTTGTTTACCATTGACCAGTCCTGAGGAACAGGGGACGATAAAGAATAATGTCCAGTTAGTGTATGTCAGAATTGTCTAGTTAGGACATGACAGTGGTTCAATAATGTGGGTCTTTGGTTCAGTGCAGCAGCTTAGCCTAAGAACATGTACTATGTTTCTATAAAGTCAGAAGCCTTGCTCTACTGAGAATAGGGCACATTCAAGCCGGAATAGGCCAACCTGTCACACTACAAGGACATCGAAATTAAAATTCAATAAAATATATATTATGTAAGTATACTATGAGTTTACCTCTCTCAAAAAAATCCAAAATGTTTTTCAAGAGGCGGTACCTCTGAATTCAAAGTTCATCTCCAATAGGACACTGCCAAATGTTTTGACAGCCTTGAAAACTCAACAACCAGAGTTCAAGACCGCAAAAAATTTGGGATTCAAAATGGGACCATCCGCTTTGTAGTCCAGTATGATGCTAAGTGAGCTAACAGAAGTCCCTGTGACTGTGAAGATTAACATTAAATGCCAAGCTTTGCATACGTTCTTGAATCTGAAACACACTTGCCGAGAAAAATCACGATACTACTACGGCCTAGATGTACTTTAACAGTGTGAAACACCTCGCACAAATTGATTCTGTCTCTTTTGTGTCGGTAGT